AGACATGAGCAAGTGCTGGCTGAGCCAGTCCTGGGCCAGAGAACACACTGGAGCCAGAGGAGGAGTGCTTGCCCGCTCTGTCACTCACCGGCTGGGAGACCTTGGGCACGCCCTGTCCTCTCTGGGCTGCTCCGGTGGGATGAGGGTGTTCAGGTAAATGTTGGGAAGCAGGCTAGCCCAGTGGCGCTGGTGCCCTGAGGGGACAGAGCTGAGCCCAAGTTCTGCCAGGTAAAGGGTGCCATTTGGAGCAGAAGCCAGTCAATCCCAAGCAACAAATGGCTCTGGTGTAGCCAATTCACTGCTGCTCTGGAGTGTTATGTAAATGTCCCTCACTTTCAACTAATGAAAAAAGCCCCTACTAGGAGCACATTCTCATCACCGTCACCTCCGCAGGCAGCCTTCAAATCATTTTCTTACACCAAAGAAAGGCAAGGAGCTTACTGGGTCAACATTGAGGGACACTGGTGAGCGTTGGACTGCTGTCTTCAAGGCTGGAAGTTCAAACCTACCAGCCGCTCCTTAGTAGAAAGACGAGGCTGTCTGGGTCTCACAGCGTCACGGAGTTGCAATGGACATGATGGCAGTGGGTTTGGAGTGAGGCTAAATACGGATGTGTGTGCCTGCTCGGCGTCCCCTACAAATTCAACTCAAAGACGCACTTAGGAACGGATTTTCCTTACAACCCGGCATGACCTGACCTCGCCCTCATTAAGCCTCATTCTCCTCGCCTGCCAAGTGGGGAGAAGAAGGGACAAACGTGGAGAGAACCGGAGGCCGGGCCACATCGGGTTGTTATGAGAAGCCCAGCCGTGAAGGCACTCCGCTAGCCCACAGCGATCAGGAGCGCCCGCGGCTGCCACAGCATCTTCCAGCTCTGAGGCCCAGCCGGCTCTCTCAGGCACTGGGGTTGGTAGGGGCCTGGTCCCCAATCAACAGAGCGAAGGACCACCCGCCCTGCGCCATCCTCGCCACTGCGCTTATGTCTGAGCCCATTGCGGCAGCCGCGGTGTCCATCGGTCTTGTGAAGGACCTGCCTCTTGTTTGCTGCCCCTCCACTTTCCCAGCATGACGTCCGTCCCTCTCCAGGGACTGGCCTGCCCTGACACGTCCAGAGTACGTGAGATGAAGTCTAGCCTCTGTCCGGCATGGAGCAGACACTTGATAAATACTTGGTCAAGAAATGCAGATTAGACAGAAAGGAGAATTCTGGCTATATTTCTCCCAAGACAGATTTATTTGTTCTTCGGGCAGCCCAGGGTACTTCCAATATTCTTCACCAGCAGCACCCTAATGCAAATGTGCCACTCCTTCCGAACGCTTCCTTGTTCCATGTCCAACTTTCACACACATGGGAGGTACTTACAAATACTCTGGCTTGGGTCACGCGTAACTTACTCCTTAAAGTAACATCCTCACGTTTCAACATTCAAGTTCACCAGGGGACATTTTATTATTATTTTTCTGGAGAAACCAAATAACCCGACAGCAGTGGCTTTTGCTGTGGATTGCTGGATTCTCCCACCCCAGGCCTTAGACCCGGGCACTTGTTAGGGATGGAGCAGCCTAGGCCCCACCCGCAGACCACGGAGCAGATCTGTATTTTCACCAGGGAAACTCAGCCCCAGATGACGGTGACTTGGTGCAAACTCCAGCACAAAGCCAGTTACGTGTTGAAAGGCCACTGAAGTTTTCTGTGCCGGCCAGAACTCCCTCGGGCAGAGGCCCTGGGTCCCAGGCAGTGGGCTCCTGGGCAGCCAAGTTCAGGGGAGCAGGCAAGTCCCCACGGGCCGGGTTATACTGGGGAGAGAAGACAGGATGCCAGGAGCTGCTTCTCTGCACTGATGAGCCTGATTGCTGAACCAGGGGCTCCTGGGCTGAATTTAAATGCTGATTAGAATTCAGCCAGAGTGCCCTCTGATTATAACAGCAGGCAGATGGAACTGTCAGCCTCACGTGGCTTCTCCCCCCACTTCCTCACCAAGTTCTTCCAGAGGGGAGTGCAGGGAGCACCAGGGACCTGCTCTCATGGGCCTTACATTCTGGTGGGAGAGACATCACATGGGGCGGGTGACTTGTCTGCGAGGGCCTGTCTGTGTCAGATTACCCAATATGCAAGGTAGGCACGGGCTGACTCGTGCTTCCTTACTAATCTGCAGTGAGCAATTTCACATCTTCTCCCCACATCGGAGCTTCTGCTTCTACGCATGGTTGTCACCGGTCTCTGTGGCAACCCCCATCACAGCACCTGCCTGCAGAATCAAAGCCTCTTTTCAAATGTTCGATCCCTGACAGGGGAATCCTCGTGACCCTGTTTGCAAAGAGGAGTAAGCGAGCAAGCACAAAGCTCAGAATAAGTTTTAAAGAAAAAGTATTGCTGCTCAGGTCCCAGTCCATACATCTCAAAAACAAGTCCTTGGTCTTGCAGAATTCCATCGGGGGTCCCCAGCTTTGTTGCTATCCCTAAGGCCCTAGTTTCCAACTATTATTCCTGCCCCTTTGCTTCCAACTCTTGCATGTCAATTGCCAATGGTGATAAATACATCTTTTGTGTGTGTGTGAGTGAGTGAGTGAGTGAGTGAGTGAGAGAGAGTGAGTGAGAGTCAGTGAATGAGAGTGAGTCAGTGAATGAGAGTGAGTGAGACAGTGAGTGAGTGAGAGTGAGTCAGTGAGTGAGAGTGAGTGAGTGAGACAGTGAGTGAGTGAGTGAGAGTGAGTGAGAGTGAGTGAGTGAGACAGTGAGTGAGTGAGTGAGAGTGAGTCAGTGAATGAGAGTGAGTGAGTGAGACAGTGAGTGAGTGAGTGAGAGTGAGTGAGAGTGAGTGAGTGAGAGTGAGTCAGTGAATGAGAGTGAGTGAGAGAGTGAGTGAGTGAGAGTGAGTCAGTGAGAGTGAGTCAGTGAGTGAGAGTCAGTGAATGAGAGTGAGAGAGTGAGTCAGTGAATGAGAATGAGTCGATAAATACATCTTGCAGTTAGCAGCCTAACATGTCATCGCTATGCTGTCAGGGCTGCTCATTAGAAATGCGTCTTGATTGCATGTTTGATCAACTTCAGACCGAACCCCCCACCCCCCAAAAAACACAAGCCCTCACTGCCATCGAGTCGATCTGACCCACAGCAATCCTGTAGGACAGGAAACCCTGTGGGTTTCCGGGAATGTAATCACGGGAGTAGAAAGCCTCGTCTTTCTCCTGCTCAGGTTTATTCCAAACAAAGCGTGTTGAAACCTGTCTCTGCCATCAGTGGATGGCTGCAGGCCAGTTCTCTCAGTCACACACTTGTTTTACCCAAAAAAACCCAAACTCCCTGCCATCGAGTCAATGCTGACTCACAGCGACCCCTGTGGAGTCCCAAGATTGTGACTGCTTTGGGGGAGTAGCCAGTCTTTCTCCCGGGAGTTGGTGGTGGTTTCAAACTCCCAACCATGTGGCTCGAAACCCAATTCATAACCACTACACTTTTCTTAGTCTCTTAAAACTCAAAAACCAGACTCGTGGCCACTGAGTCGATTCCGCCTCAGAGAGGTCCAATCAAAGCAGTGGCTTCCCCGGGGATCTGGGGGGCCAGTTGAGGTCCAATCAAACAAGTGGCTTCCCTGGGGATCTGGGGGGCCAGTTCAATTCAGACACAGAACGCACTTGGGAGGTTATGATGACTGCTTTATTATTATTATTCCATAGGGGTTATTATTCTTTTCTGAACCATTTTGTTGGCAAATAATTCACATATCATAAAACTTGGTAGGTCAATCACATCAAGAAGAGTTACTATCATCACCACAATCAGTTTCAGAACCTTTTCACTCTTCTGCTCATGGTTATCAGCTTCCCATGTCCCTCCAACATCCGCTGCTGTACCCCCAAAACCAAAAAAACAAACTCCCCGCCGACGAGTCGATGTCAACTCAGAGCGACCCTGCAAGACAGGTGGAGCTGCCCCTGTGAGTTTCTGAGACCCTAACTCATTCTGGGAGCCGAAAGCCGACTTTGCCCCTTGGAGCGGCTGGTAGTTTCAAACTGCTGACCTTGCCGTTAGCAGCCCACTTCGCCACCAGGGCTCAAAGGAGATAATCTTGATAAGTTTTCTCAAAAGACATTGGACCTTTACGGGGGCTTATTAGGAAGAAGTTTTAAGAAGATTACCAACTGCATTGGTGAGAAAAGGGCAGGAGGTTTGCCCGAAGGAAGGTCCTTTCTGCATCATAACCGTGTACCTGCTTGTTCTCAGAGGGCGCCCAGGGCTGTCCCACAAGAAAGCCATTGGGAAACCTTACCCCACCCACCCTACATCCCTGACCTTGCTCCTTCACATGCTGTGTTCCCCAAACTGCCAAGAACACGGTTTGAGATTCTCGAGGATGCCCAAACTCATGTTGACGTGATAAGAATTGAGGAGCGCAGAATTCTTCTTCAGAGAAGGGCTACAGGGATGAAAGCACCTCCTTCAGAAGTCTATCGAGCTAGATGGAGGATATGTTGAGAAACAATAGCTTCCTGTTTTTATGTACTAAAAGGCTCCATGTATTGGCACCAACACTTTTTTACTCACCTGCCTGGGCCCAGGCTTCCCTTGCTCATTGGGCTGTCTCCACGGGTCCTGTCTGCAGCCAGGCCCAGCCGAGCAGGGAAGAGGGGTGCTGGGACCTGTCTTCCCTCTCGCTGCCCTAGAAGGTGAGTTGTGGGCCCCTGCTGGGATCTCAGATGAGCCCCTGCCCCTATAGCACCTCCACCATCACACTCACCATCTGTCTGCTCCCCCAAACACCCTGGCTGGGGAGAGAGGGACACATTGGGTCCATTTCACAGATGGGAAGACCGGAGGCCCTGAGACGCTAAACACAGCAGTGAGTGGCCCGGAACTCAGGTTATTGAGACCCCCCAAGTGCAGGTCCGTTGTTTCTGCAGTGTCCTCAGGGTTTGTCTGAGCCGCCTGCCAGCAGAGCAGGGTCAGTGGTAAGAAGTTGAGAGTGGTATCTCTTCTCCCTTCTGTCCCCCGCCCCCAGGACTGGGTCACCAGCACCGAGCTCCTCATCTCCCTCAACCGGCTCAACACTTTTGGGGACGACATCTTCAAGGACCCCAAGGTGCTCCAGTCCTACTACTACGCCGTGTCTGACTTCTCAGTGGGCGGCAGGTAGGTGAAGCAGGGTGCTGGGGACCCGGAGGGGAGGTGGGAGTGAAGCAAGACTCCAGCACCCTGGTCCTGAAGCAGAAGGTGGCTGGCCACTTGGGAGTCCCCCAGCGGTGACTGTGGAGCGGTAAAGAAGTCCGTCCTGGTGCCCCAGGGGAAGGGAGGGAGCCAGGACCCTGACATGCGAGCCTCTCAGCCTGGTTCCTGCCCACCATCCCAGATGTGTGCTCCTCTGGGGTATTAGCTATCTCTCCCAACGCACACGCACACACCACACATGCATATACACATACATACATACACACGTATACACACCACACTTACCACACACATACACATATATACCACACACATACACACACCACACATATACGCATACCATACACATACACATACCACACACATACACATATACACCACACACACCACACATACACACACACCACACATATACATACCACACACATACACATATACACCACACACACAACACATACACACACCACACACACACACATACCACGCATACACATACCACACACATACACTTATACACCACACACATACCATACCCACATACATACACACACAACACACATACACACACCATACACATACACACACCATGCACATACACATATACACCACACATACACATACACACACACCACACACATACATGTACATATACACACACCACACACATACATGTACATATACACACACCACATATACGCTCACCACACACACCACACATACACACACCACACATACATGTACACATACACACACCACACGTACACATACATACACATACATACACACACCACACACATACATGCAAAGCATACGCGCGCGCACACGCTCGTGCACACATGGAGCTGGACAGGACAGAGCAGGGCTGTGCTGCTGTGTCTGCCCCAGAGGCCTCGGTATCAGGACCGGCTCCCAGCCCTTCTCTCCATCGCTCCCTGCCCGGTCGCTGGTCTGCGAGCCCCGTCTCCATGAAGACATGGTCCGCATCCCTCAGGACTTGTCTCACACGAAGCGGGCCCTCCTGCGTGCTGCAGAAGTACTGTGGTCAGCACATAAACATCAACATGTGCAGACTCTTCCTTTGGAGGGAGAGAGAGAGAGCGAGGAAGTTCCTACCCGACACCCCAAGCATTCGCTGCTAAATTGTAGGCGGGGCCTTCGAAAGTCTGTGGAAAAATTCCTCTTTCAGTTCCATTTCTCCACCAACTTTTTGAAGGTTCTGAGGGCAAGGACACCAACTGAGCACTTACTATGTACCCAGCGGCAGGCAGTGTGGTTCAGTGGAAGAATTTCTGCTTTCCGTGTGGGAGATGGGCTTACTGGGCTGGGGGTAGACAGAAAGGAAGATGGGGGGTGGGCTGGGGGGGTGGGGGTGGGGCCTTGGTTCCTGTCACCCTCCACCGGTCCGTCCAGAGTCCCTCTGACGGGGTGACTACCTGTGTGTGAGCCTCTCTCCCAACACTCGCTGCGCTGTGAGTTGACCAGAACCCACAGGGCCAGGGCTGTGTCGTGACTGCCCCTCGGCCACACATTACAGCTATTGCGACATGCAGGCTCTTTCCCCTGTGCCCCTTACCACACCTACCAGGGGATGCCCCCCTTCCCCTCCCCTGAGGGGTGCCACCCTGCCCTGCGCTGGCAGACCTCAGTCCCATCCAGCTCTGCCCTGAATTCCCCCTGTGACCTAACCAGACCACCATCCCCCACATTCCCACAACATTGTGAAGTTTATTCTGTAAATGCCCACATGCCGGGGGCAGGGTACTCGCCCCAGGCCCCACCCTGCCTCGGGTGGTTTTGAGAACTTTCCCCAACCTGGGACCCTGGAGGAGGGGCCCAACCCACCTGGCTCTCTGATGAAAGTTTTGCAAGCATCATGGTAGCAGGCCGGTCACTACTTTGACACCCAGACTCGGCATCCCAGGCAGGGGTCAGTCACCCAGGGCCCACGCCGCCTTGCCCAGTAGGGGGCTTGAACCTTAGCCCCCCTCCTCTGCCCTCTCTCCCTCTGCTCTCCCACTGCTGCCTATGGAAATGGGACGTAGCAACTGCCCCAGGTAACATCTGCTTCCCCAAAGCCAGGGACACCCAGTCCTCTTGACGTTGGAAGAGGGAAACATGGGATGGACAGAGGGCTGTTCCTACCTCATCCCTCATCTGAATCTCGGGGGTTTGCCAGGCACATCCTGCTCACCAGACCCTGTGCTGACATCACCTGTTGACAGCTGTCACATGATCTTCCCGAGAGCTTGAGTGATGTGCACAACATCCTGCAGCCAAGAGGGGCAGCGCCGGTCGCCATCATTCAGGGGGACATCTGTCCGGGGCCTCCAGTCCCTGTCCCTGTCTTGTGGGGTAGCAGACACCGATTAGAGTATCTCCCCCAGTGAAAGCATCTATACAGGATGGGAACGGGGTGGGGTGGGGTGCAGGGTGCAGGGTGCATGCAAAGCTCACGAGTCTGAGGCTCTGAGGCTGGTGAGATGGAGCCGAGCCTGAGGCAGAGAGGTGGGCATTCTGGGTAGGAGGGCCACTGTGTGCAAAGTCTGTGAGAGTTGACGAGGGGGCTGAGGTTGGGGTGGGTAGGACAGGGCAGAGGTTGAGGCTGGACAGCCCTCATGGACCACGCTCATCTTGTCTCATCGCCAATGGGAAGCGGGTGGAGGATTGGATGAGGATAGTAACAGGATTTCCCTTGAAGATTCTGGAAAGCCAAGATGTTGCTTTGGGGACTAGATGTGTCTGCCTCAGGCCAGGGTCTTTCCCATTACATCCTGTGTATGTGGAAGCTAGCCCCTGAAACTGAGCCCTGTAAAGTGTGCTGTTAGCAAAATAAGGAGGCCCAGTGTCTGGTTACGAGGTGGGCTGCGATCCACATGGTCGGCAGTTCAAAGCCAGCAGCATCTTCTTGGGAGGCAGACTGGGCTTTCTCTTCCCGTCAACAGCGAGAGTCTCAGAAACCCACAGCGGGTGGCAATGAATCAGCATGGACTCGATAGCACTGAGTTTTTTTTTTAATTGGTTGGCAAAAAACAATATGGATCATCCTGTGGACTACCACGTTGGAATTGACTCACGACCAAAGGAATGCACAATCAGTCTGAGAAGAAGCACAAGGAGCGTGTTCCTGAGGCTCGACAGTCACACTTATTTTGGACGCACGTCTTCGGGAAGGACTATTCACAAGACAAGAAGACAAGGTGCTTGGTAATGGAGTGAGCCAACAAGATGAGGGACCCAGCGAGGGGCGGACTGGCACCGTCGCTGTGACCACCATGACCATGACCCTGGACTGGGCAGTGCTTGCTTTCATGGTACATCAGCCCGCGTTGACTTGAGAGTAACTCACGGCAAGCAGCCACGGCCAGGTTTGTGAAGCCTCCCGGCACTTACCGTGAGTGGGGAAGGATAAGAGATGTGCGGGAGCCTGTATGATATGCAGGAGCCGTGGTGGGAGTCAGCTGAAGTAAAGCAGCTTGGAGCAGGAAGAGGGGCCCTGGTGGCGTAGCGGTCAGCAGTTCGAAACCACCAGCCGCTCTGTGGAAGAAAGAGGAGGCTTTCAATTCCCGTAGAGAATTACAGTCTAGGAAACTCCCAGGGGCCGTTCTTCCCTGCCCTATAGGGTCGCTGTGGGTTGGAATCAACTCAATGGCAGTGAGGATCAGGAAGGTGGTGGGTGGGTTGCTGGGAGGGGTGGTGTTGGGGCAGGGGACTGGTGTTTGTATCAGCCCAGCAGCTAGTAAGGACAGAACATCAGCTCTTCTTCCAAGTGATGGGCCTCTGGGCAATGATGTCCGTGACGGACCAGGATAATGCTGTCCTTCGGGCCTCCATAATGTGATGGTGATGCCTAGCTGGATGGGGCAGGCGAAGAAGTAGAACATGGGCCCAGCTTCCCGTACTCTCGGGCTTGGCAGAAAAGGGAGGCGTGGGAGGTGGTCCACGATCACTTCTCGGCTCTCCTCCCTGCCAGCCCCACTTGATTCAGCTCCAGCCTCCTGGGAGGGGCCCTCTTCGAGGATGGCAGGCAGCAGGGAGCTCCAGTCTGCCCCTTTGGGCCAGAGAACATCTGGGTCCCAGCTGGGGGGAGGCAGACCACCCTCAGACCAGCAGCTGGCTGGGGAAGGCGGCTCACGGGCAGAGGCAGGTGAGCTGAGCAGCCTGTATTTTCCAGAGGCCTCCAGGAATTCCACTCCCTTTCCCTTGGGGTCGGTGGATTGCCTGGGGGAGGGAGGTGTGCGCAGCACCCTCAGGGGCATGGGAATTCCCTTGGGACTACCCTGGACTGCTGGGTTCCCAGGGCCAGCCTCCCTTCCTCATTCATGAAGTGCCCCTGCTGCTGCCCTGGGAGGAGGGGATGCTCTGTCTTCTTCCTCAGCTCCAGGGACCCCACTGGGATGGGGGGTGGGGTGGGGAGCTTGACTGGCCTGGTCCAAAATTCCTCAGCACCCTTGAGGACAGGGTAGGACCTGGCGTATGCTTTCATTTCGTGGGGCTGCTTAGCTCGAAACAGCAGCCATGTGGTCTCTCGCCGTCCTGGGGGCAAGAAGCCAGAACTCAGTGTCCGCTTGGCCAGGCTTTTTTGGGAGCTCCGCAGGGGAAATCCCTTCTGGCCTCTTCCTGGCTTCTGGTGGCTTCTAGCAATCCTTGGCCTGCCTTGGCTTGTGGCTGCAATGGCCCTGTGCTCCACTCCGTCTTCACCTGGCCATCTTCCCTTGGTGTGGGGCTCTAAGTCCTCTCTAAGAACACCAGTTATTGGATGTAGGCCCCAACCCCTGTGGGATAGAGATTACACATCGGGCTGCTAACTGCAAGGTCAGCAGTTCTATAATACTAGCTGCTCTGGGGGAGAAAGACAGAGTTTTCTACTCCTGTAAAGAGTGACAGTCAAAGTTGATGGTGCCCGGCTATCAAAAAGTATAG